ATGGAGAATCATAATCAATAAATCATGTAAACACTGTAAAAAATACAGTCTTGTGAATAAAATTCAAAGCCATTGTTGCTGTTGAAATAAATAAGCATTAGATAGAAAGCAAAGCCAATACACCTTCATGCATTTATCTAGAGCTTTCAAATGAACGTTTTTATTAATACATAAATGGAATGTATAAACACACAAGCCCTGCTTTTCTTAGTTTTGCAACTTCTTAAATTACCACTAATGCACATGGAAATCAATTAATGCAGTGAGATTGGCAATTTGTTTAGAGCATTATCTCTAAATACTGGGAATTAATAATAAAAACCCTTTTAGGAAAAGACAGGGCTGTGAGAACAGACCCAACAATGGCTGGCCGGTTTGTGCATTCTTGGAGGGACACACATGACTGCTTTTTTTCTGCATTGGTCATTGCCTCTACAAATCTGTTCTTGGAGCACGCCGCCAGAATCAACAAGATGGATGTAGGCGCTGAAAGTACGGCTGGACACCCATGATAAGAAGCCTATGGCTCAGAAAGAAGCAAAAAAGGGATGCTGGCCAAAAGCCTGGACCAGTGACTGGAGCTCATGCCACTTGCTCAAGAAATCACAATCATATACAGAAGATATATTTCATCGATGTCCATGCTGCTCTTTTCCATGCAGTGAAATAAAGACACTATCAAGTGTCAAAAATGATAGAAAAACACTAGAAAAATCTGTATGATTTGCTGAATTCTGCCATATTTCACGTCTTTTGTGTATCTTGGCACATTAAAAATTGTAGTGTGAAGATGCATTTGATTCAAAACACCATTGGTTCTGCAACTACGTTAGCTGAGGTGGGTCTGAGCAGACTTAATTTAGTCTGGATTTTACTCTGCATTACATATTTACATTGACACGCCTTAGCATGAATGATCAAAGTATGTAATTGTAATTTGTGTGTAAATGCATTTATGCCACCTCTGAGCAGCATTAAACAGTCTGTGTAAAGACAGCTAAATGCCACTTCAGAAGTGCTTCTGTGCCACCTATGCAGTGTAAATGTGGCATTAGGAAGTAAAAATGCTGCCTCAAAATTCTTTGTAAAAATGCAATGCAGAATAAAAGCCAGACTAAATGATGCCAGCTCTGAAACACCTGAGCATAAATGATCAGAGCTGGCATAATTTAGTCTGCATTGCATTGATTCCATTGATTACACAGAATTTTGAGGCAGTATTTTTACTTTCTAATGCCACATTTACACTGCATAGGTGGCATAAAAGCACTTCTGAAGTGACTTTTAGCTGTCTTCACAAAGACTAAGGCTGCTTAAAGGTGGCATCAATGCACTGACACAAAAATTATAGGCTACTTTAGTACTAAAGGGCTGAGGTGGGTCAAAGCTGGCATAATGTAGTCTGGCTTTTATTCTTGTTTTTACACAGACTGTTTAGTGCTGCTCAGAGGAGGCATAAATGCATTTCCACACAAATTCCAATTGTATACTTTAATACTAGAGGTTAAGGTGGGTCAGAGTTGGCGTAATCTTGTCTGGCTTTTATTATGCATTACATCTTTACACTGAATTTTGAGCAGGCACAGAGCAGCCTTAACTGCTTTATACGCTGTGTAAAGAGACTTTAAAGGGGTCATATGATGCTGCTAAAAATAACATTATTTTGCGTAATGAAATGGGTTTATGCGGTTTAAGTGAATCAATGAGTGAACGAGTGTTTCAACTGATTCATTTTAAACATCAATTTATTCATGTATGCAAAAGGACAATAGTAAACACTACATTTTTAGTTAAAGTCAGTTCATCATTGAATTCAATGATGTCATCATCCAGCTCAGTTCAGTTTAAATAGTATCTGTGCAATCAAGTCAACGATATCACTGGAAATTAAGTGTCCCTAGCTAAGCAAGCTGAGGCGACAGCGGCAAGGAACCACAACTCCATCGGTGAGAAAAAAACCTTGTGAGAAACCAGGCTCAGTCGGGGGGTCCAGACAAAACCAGCAGTTCAATTCCAGGCTGCAGCAAAGTCAGATTGTGCAGAGGACTCATCTGGTTCCCGAGGTCTTGTCCCGATGGCCGTCTAGTTAACATGGTCTCCGCTGACATTCAGGGCTGTAAATGGTCGTCTCATGAATATAGTGTTTTGAACGAATCGGTTGAATGCAATGACGTATCTCTGTGAATTGTTGGACTCAGCTAGTCAACCAATCAGATTCGAGGACCTAAATTATAGGTGTGGTCACAGTAGCGAAATTTGGTATTATTAGGCTAATACTGTAGCGATGTATGAAGCACAGGCACAGCTCACATAGAAATAACTTTAAAGTACTGATGGTTACTCAAAAGTACTGAAACAAAGCTTTTCAAAACTTGGAATCAACTGCTTCGCAAAATGATTCACTGTTTTGAAGCACTCGAAATGCCACAGACGAGTAGCACTTGCTGGTAAAAACCTGTAGGCTAAAATAGTGTAATTTTATTAATGTGCCAAACAACATCAATTAGCAATTAAATATTCTCCTTTCTGTATTATACACACACAAGTACTAACATTAAGTTTTAAATTAATCAACAATGAATCTACATTTCGAAACTGACCCGAGATAATAGTTAAAACTACCGACGCACGTTTATCAGTTTAACCATAGACTTATAACATGTTCAACAGATCAATTTAGGGGCGTTCTGAAATGTGGGCCTTTCCAAATGTTTCAACACCAAGGTTCGAATTGGATTCGAATCGCAACGAAGCCTTGTTTGCTGAAATCACGTGACTTGGCAAGTTCGATACGCGCCCCAAATCATTGGTTCGAAACGAATTATGCGCAAATGTTTCACAGCTTCATGTTGCAGTGTTCGGAAAGCTCACTAAATTAAAAGCAAGCAGTTGCGTGAGGAAATCTTTCACCTTCACGCGAAATTCCTGTTCGCGATGATGATAGTTAAAGTACTGGATCACATGAAAAAATACTATAGTAATTTATAATAAATACTATAGTGTTTTTGAACCATACTTTAGTAAATTACTTGAATTAATTTGTTGTGGTAATTGTATAGTTGCTGTAGTAACTATAGTAATATAAACAAATGACTTTACCCAATGCTGTACTAAGTTTTCTACAACTATAGGGTATATTATACTACAATACACTACAGTTTACTGTAGTAAAAACTAAAGTACACTACAGTATTTATTACAATTTATCAGTTCACTAGAGTTAATGCTACAGTATGCTGTAGTATTCATTAACAAAGTGTTGTAAATACTATAATATATACAGTATAATACAATATGGTTCAAAAACACTATAGTATTTACTACAAATTACTATAGTATTTTTTCATGTGGGCACCCACGAAAATTCGCAGAAAAACAGTAAATGTGACTGCGCCTTAACAGTTTGCAACACTGTAGGCTAGCCTATCGAATTGTCTTTCTATTAGCTTATATCACATACTGTATGTAGTTATCGGTGTGGGTGTAAACGTTGCAAAACCCATATTTGTCAATGATTTTGAATAGGTCATGAACTTGTCACTATAGGATACAGTCAATGCACATATTAAAAATAACTGTTATTGCATAAAAAAATAGAGCTACCCATAAACCCCAACTCCTTTGAGAGAGAGAAAAATGTCCTGTCTAAGCATAATGCTAAAATATCTGAACATTTGCTCAAGGCAGTGTGAGTTTGCTCACTTCTGACATGGACATTCTTAGACACTACATGCCAAAGTCAATTTGATTTCCTGTAGAGCTGCTCATGTTTCCCCACTGAGACAACAGCGGTGCGACTGAAACATGAACTGCTATCACAGAAGAGCATTCTCTAAAAAGCATCCCATGATGAGAATTTCTCCTCATTAGCGTGATCGTGCGAAAACAGCGTTACGGGTGCAAAAAGCGTCTTTGAAATGTGCTTCATACATCATTAAATCTAAATCACTCGTGCTGCTTTTGGAACTTTGTGGCCTGCCTGTTTGTGGAAAACAATAAATAATGAATAATAAATAAATAAATGAAGACACAGACCAGACAGCCTTCAAATTACTGAAGTGGATAAGGTCGTTTTCATATTTGAAATATCATATTTTATTTAGATGACTTTTGCAGTCACTGTAGCACAGGACTCATGTTAGTTTAAGATGATGAAGATGCAGCAAGAGAAAGACAAAAACTTCTCTCCACAGATATGCCGTGGGATCCAAAAGAGTGAAATGCCTCTGCTTTAGTGCATTTTCATTACAATTTATTGTCAGCATCACAATTTGAGTGGCACATGAAAATCTGACTGTACAAAAAAAAATGCACGAACAATGTCCCTCGTTTACTTGGAAAGTAGAGCACAGTCTGACATAGTGCTGCTTCATTTTGAAAACTAAAATCCCCAATTTGTTATTCCTAAATTGAAATGGAAAAGAAAACATCCCAGATTTTCACTGTGGCCTCATTCTTCTGAACCTCTTCTGAAAGTGATGTGCTCTTCATTTCAAACCTGGAAGTATACTGTGGGAGGAAAGTTGACATCAAAATACACTAAAACCATTTAAGAATAGCTCAGAAGGTGTTTGCTTTTCTCTTTTTTTAAGGTGTAGTACATTTAAATCTCGCTGTACTACATACCATTTAATATCTCAGTGGGTAAATTCATGGATTAGCCAAATGATTACAGGCAAACCAAGCCTAAGCTTAATGAGTTATTAATGCCTACGCAGAGGATTTTGTGAAATTAGGTTGCAACTCTTAGACACAAGATGATATTAGGTTCATCCAACTCAGTATTTGTTAATTGCCGGGAGGCTGTGGAAATGTATCTTACAGTTTGCATTTGAATAAATGCAGTGCAAATATTTATTTTCATGCAGTTCTTCATGTACAACTGAAGGATGTGATTTGCAATACCAAACAGAATTGCAAAAATAATGACTGTACCAATCAAACACCGTACTTTTGTTGAAAATACTTTATTTTCCAACATTGCAAAACCCATATCTGTCAACTATGATTTTTAACTTGAATCAATACATGTCTCAAAATATATTTTACTGCATGTATTATACAGTTTGCATTTTAATATTTATTTGCACGTAAAGCTGTTGTTTTCCTTTGCCGCTTGCGACCAAACAGAAATTGCAAAAATAATCAAACATCTTCCACTGGATTTCCAATCGCAGTTTTGTTTGGTTCCTCTAGTGGCTCAGAAATAAAACTCTGCACACTGAAGTGTGTACAATTCAAAAAGCATATTTTAATAGTCCTAAAAACACGTGCCTGTTATTCAAAGCTATATTTTTCAACTATTGCTAGGTTAAAGTTTATGTGTATATCCATGTCTGACTTTTCTTCCATTTACATTGGAGGTTTACTTTTGTTGAAAATGCCTCATTATACTTCAGTTGGACCTTAAGGGCAAATCTACTGTGCCTTCAGCTGGTGACCAGCAGAGACACGAGAGCTTACACGAGACCCAGCACGCGAGCCGCCCACCAGCGGCAAGGCATGATGACCCTGCAAACCTGCCGACAGCCGTGGTAGTTGTAAGGCCACGGCCAGTAGCCCCCGAGAGGCTCACAAACACGCTCGCAATGGGTGTAACTGCGATGACATTCTGTGCAGCAAATGCCACGATGGTCCAGCATGGGATCGAACACCATGTGCCCCTCTGAACCCTCCTGATTCCGCTGGAGAGAGAAGAGAAAAGAGATGGTGAGCAGAGCGCTGTGAAATTATTTCAGTGGGGCAGCAATTCTGGTTCACTCGGTGCCTGTTTTAAAAACGTATTATTTCTTTGTACGATTATATGTTAGTCTTGTGCTGTAGTTTGTACTGTGCAAAAGGTTTTTCGAGAGAAGTCTGTTATGCTCATCAAGGCTGCATTTATTTGATTAAAAATACTGTAAAATTGTGAAATATTATTACAAAAATACAGGAATATATTATATACATAGAATAGCTTAATTTATACATAATTTAAAATAGCTGTTTTCTATGTGAATCTATGTTAAAAATGTAATTTATTTCTGCAATCAAAGCTGCATTTTCAGCATCATTACTCTAGTCTTCAGTGTCACATGATCTTCAGAAATCATTCTAATATGCTGATTTGCTGCTCAACAAACATTTCTGATTATTATCAATGTTGAAAACAGTTGTGCTGCTCAATATTTTGATGGAAACGGTGATACATTTTGTTTTTCAGGATTCTTTGATGAATAGAATGTTCAAAAGAACTGACAAGAAAGTGCCACTTTTGGTCAATTCAACTTGCGAAATCCACAAAATATTAAGTAGCAAAAATGGTAATAATTAAATTAAAATAATATTAAATGGATTAAAAATATGTTAACAATTGTTATATTAAAAGCAGCAAAAATGGTTATATTAAAATAGAAAAAAGTTCTTTTAAATTGTAATAATACTTCACAATATTACTGTTTTTACTGCATTTTTGATCAAATAAAGGCAGCCTTCACTCTTCAAAATAAAGGTGCTTAAAAGGTTCTTCACAGCGATGCCAAAGAAGAACCATTTTTGGTTCCACAAAGAACCATTCTGTCAAAGGTTCTTCAAAGAACCATCTCTTTCTTACCTTTTTATAATCTGAAGAACTATCTTTCGCACAAATAACCTTTTGTGAAACAGAAAGGTTCTTCAGATGTTAAAGGTTCTTTATGGAACCATTTAGACAAAAACGGTTCTTCTATGGCATCGTGAAACCCCTGTAATTTTTAAGAGTGTTGGTGAGGAGAAGAATCTGAATTATTCCAAACTTTTGACTGGTAGTGTGTGTATATTTATAGCATGTTTATGCATGACTTTAATAATGAAGGCATTGCTCACATGATAAGGGTTTTCAGGGTTATAATCGGGCCCCGTCGGCCGCTCATCCTCTCTGGCTGGACTCGTGGAGTTTCGACGTCTCGCCTGTTGTCGATTTAATCCACCTGTACTCTGCCGTCTCACTCGCGTCACACTTCTCCTCTTCCTCAATGCTTCAGAAAGAGCCAGCAGAGAGAGAGAGTGAAGATAAGCAGCATTGAAGAGCGAGGCATTTCTGAGCTTTAGATGATAATCACTGCCTCATTCACAAATGTCACGGTCAGTGTGTAATGGCCATCGAATGTGGATGTGTATTGCATTAAATATCCCACCTGGGATCAATAAAATGTATGTATTTGTATCTAAAAAAAAACATGTTCATGTGCTGTATGAACTCAGCTAACAGGAAACATTCTCAGAACGTTCTGGCAAGGTTCTCTTAAAGTCACAAACAAACATTCTTCCAGTAATGTTAATACAACAATCATTCAACGTTGTCTTTAATAATGCTTGGACAAAAACGTTATTTATACATTGTTCAAGGAACGGGTTTATTTTTTTCTGAAACGTTTACGTTGGACATTTGTCTAATGTTTTCTAAACTTTACTACTAGCTACTTTTCAAAACATTCAACATTCGAAAATGTTCCAATAATGTTTGTAAAGGTTAAAATGGAATGTTTCATTAATGCTGTTTGCTAACCTTTGCATGTTATTACTCGTTTCAGAATGTTCAGAGAACATTCAAAAGTAATGTTTCAATATGTTTGCAATAATAAAATGGAACATTCCCTTAACGTTCCTATAGCCAACAAAAACATTCTGAAATAATGTTTTCATAACTTAATGGAATGTTCTTAGAACATATTCTGGGTGTTTGGCCTTTAATAACGTTCTCAAAACGTTAGCACAAAAATATTATTTATACATTATTCATGGAATGTTCTAAACATTTTATTAAACATTTAAACATTTTAGTTGGACATTCATCAAACGTTTTTAAGTGTTTTTAATAGTGCTGTCAAATGATTAATCGTGATTAATCGCATCCAAAATAAAAGTTTTTGTTTACATAATATATGAGTGTGTACTGTGTATATTTAATATGTATATATATAAAAAAGACAAATATTTTATGTTTATATATATTAAATATATTTATTTATAATATAAGATATAATAATATATGTAAATGTATTTACATGCATTTTTTTTTCAAAATATATACTGTATGTGTGTGTATTTATATATACATAATAAATATACACAGTACACACACATATATTATGTAAACAAAAACTTTTATTTTGGATGCGATTAATCACGATTAATCGTTTGACAGCACTAGTTTTTAATTGTTTCAGAATGTTCAAAGAACATTCAAAAGTAACATTCCCATAATGTTTGCAAAATGATAAAAAAACTTTTCTAAAACATTTAAAATATTCTCAGCTAACAAAGGTGTGTATAAGGCCGAGTTCACACTGCACGATTTTAGCCCGATTTTTCACTCGACGAAGGGTTTTGCGAAATCGCCGACAAATGCCCGAAATCGGAGGCAAATCAGTGCTCGTTCACACGAGTGACAATCACGCAGTGTGAACTATCAAAGACGCGATCTGAGGGAATTGCCGACACGTTGCCGACACCCGTGAAATATTTGGCATGCTAAATATCTGGAGCTGTCGGCGATTCACAATCACATGGTGTGAAATGAGTTCTGACTGAAAAACACATCGGCGATGACCTACAGCCAATGACAGACCAAGATACAGGGCAGCGGGAATAAGGGGAGTGAAACGTATATGAAACGTATTTTGCGGACCAGTGTCCGCGATTGCCGGCAGTTGTTTTTTATGTCAGCAGGTTGAAGCGACCCCAATAACTGATATTTAGGCCCTGGAATGTGAATTGTACCAGGAGAACCCTGCCAAATAAATGTGTATTTTACCCCCCGAATGGGATTTTTACTGGGGGACCCCCTCGAAAGCAATTGGGCTATTTTCAGGCTAGTTTTGAATAGTAATTGGGTGGGTTTTGTAGCAAAAACCTGGCAACCCTGCACTAGACGGAGCTGTCGGCGATTCTTCCTATTGTGAAGTCATGCAATGTGAAACCCCCTGTCGCCGATCCATCGTGCAGTGTGAACACAGCAACAACTGAATGCTACCCCAGATAGTCACGCAGTGTGAAAACAACGGCGATCCGACGAGTTTGAAAATCATGCAGTGTGAACTCGGCATTACATGTATGCTTTGTTTCTGTCTCATTGTGTTTTCCCCATGACCTAGTTTCTCAGTCTGATTAATCATTCTGTTCACCTGTTGCCTCGTTAATTAACTCATTAGTTCCTTTCTTTAGTTCTCCCTTTGTCTCTGTCCGTTCTCGTTGGTTATTGTGTTTGGTATGTGTCTCTGAGTTTGTTATTAAAGTCTATTTCCAGTTATTCTTCTCCATTCTACAGTATGTTCTAAGAATGTTTTTGCAAATGTTCCCATGAAGTCCTGGATGTTCTCTGAACTTTCAATACGTCCAGGTTTTAAAAATGTTTTTATGCAAACGTTAAGGGAACTTCCATTTCGCAAACATTATGGGAATGTTGCTTTTGAATATTCTCTAAACATTCTGAAACAAGTAGTAACATTTAAAAAAAAAAAACAATGTTAGTTGAAGGTATAGCTAAAATGTTTCAGAAAAGCATTCCGTGAACAATTTATAAACAATGTTTTTGTGCTAACGTTTGATAACTTTTTTAAAGACCACATAACTGTGAATAAATTAACGTCTATTCTACGTCTGTTCTATTAACGAATAAATTACCTAACATTCTATTAACGTTACTGGAAGAATATTTGTTCATAACTTTGAGAGAACCTTGCCAGAACGTTTCCAGTTAGCTGGGATTGTGTTGCGTGGCTTGATGAATGACATTATATGGCTTATATTGAACTATTAATCACACAATATAAAAAGCAATCCTTTATCATAGTATTAATGTGCACTTCATCATTGCTCTTCACGTGTTTCGGGTTTATTAATGGAAATGCAATGAAACACCTCTGGAGTTTGCAGGATGATGCCAGTAAATGGGAAGGTCTCCACAGAATCTCAGTATTTCAGGGCTCAGAAAACTGACGTCCTTCAGTGGTTCTTCAGATGCGATCCAGACCAGAGACCCCGCGTCAGATTTCACCGCCGCAGTGTCAGCCTCCTATTGGTGATTAAAACACAACGGTTGACTGAACACTGAAACCTGAAACTTCCAGACTAAAAGATGTATTTTGCAAGTGCAATGTGGATATGCAATGATGTTATAGATGTATTTAATAATATAAATGATTCATTTTAATAGAACTGATAGAATAGAATTATTAATAATTATAGACATTTAATCATTTAATAATAGAAAATGACTACTTTTAAGTGCTTTTTGAACACAAAACCAGCTAAATGAAGACCCAGGTAAACAATGAATTCATCTTTTCTGTTTCTTATAGCAGTTTTGTATTGTTTGTAGTGTGATCAACGTTTGCGTAAGTAGTAGACGTGTTAGGGAAGTAACACGTAACATTTTAATAATATTTTGATCAAATGAACGAAATGACTCGAAAAAAGATTCAAAATGATGATCCGAACTTGCCATCAACTAGAACTCTGTGCATTCCGGTTCATGACATCTCATTTTTGTTCAAAATCGTCCTACATCGCTGTTTTACAGTTTTTTGTAAAGGGCGTTTGACCTTCTTTGCACGTTCACTTTGTAAACACTGGCTCGGTACTTCTGCAGCGATGTAGGACGATTTTGATGTTGGAGGAGAAAATGAGATGGGAGTTTTTCGACCTACCCTAACTCTTTCGAATGGGACTGCACAGAGTACGCATGCGCATTGCAAAGCTACACAAGACAAGCGCTTGAGGTTAAAACATATATGATTTTTATTCTTTTTTAGAAAATGACCGATCGTTTCGCTAGATAAGACCCTTATTCCTCGTCTGGGATCGTGTAGAACGCTTTGAAGCTGCAATTTGGACCTTCCACCCAGTGAACCCCACGGAAGTCCACTATATAGAGAACAACCCTGGAATGTTTTCCTCAAAAACCTTAATTTCTTTTCGACTGAAGAAAGAAAGACATGAACATCTTGGATGACATGGGGGTGAGGAAATTTTAATTCAGAAGTGAACTAATCCTTTAAAGGCCTGTTCAAACCAAACACGCTAATTATAATGATAAAGATATTCTTCTGAAGGATATGCAAGCTTGATTCTGCCACAGAATAAAAAAAAAGTGAAAAGTAATTGCAGTTTACATTTCGTCACTCCACACCACGTCTATAACGATCATGACACAGAGGAGCGATGAAATCCCTTTCATATTGTTTTTTCCAGCTGATGAACAATAAAAACATTGACAGCCAATCAGAATCCATTGTGCTTCAATGAGCTTGAAGTGCTCGACAAAACTGCAGCGTGGGCTTATAATAAACATAACATTATTGTGCATTGGTGTGGACACTAATAGTTAATCGCTGTCTTTTTAGTTATCATTTTCAGTGTTAATAACTTTTAACACCTTGATCCTGATATAAAAGCATTAGCTCAACCAATGGCATGAGTCTGGGGGCGGGGCTATCCGTTTGACAGACAGCAGATGGGGGCATGTCCAGAAAAGCTGTATGAAATTCTGTTTAGTGAAGCTGATTCAAAGCGAAATGACACACTTTGGCTGTAAGCAAACATTTTGAGATGAAAAATCTGTGAAGAGTTCAATGAGAACGGTTATACGTACTGTATTCGCAGTTATAGCTAATTACATTTCATTTAGCCTGATAAACATATTTTCCCCAATTTAGTCTCATTTATATGATTATTCATGTAGTATCCCTTTCATATTGTTTTTTCCAGCTGATGAACAATAAAAACATTGACAGCCAATCAGAATCCATTGTGCTTCAATGAGCTTGAAGTGCTCGACAAAACTGCAGCGTGGGCTTATAATAAACATAACATTATTGTGCATTGGTGTGGACACTAATAGTTAATCGCTGTCTTTTTAGTTATCATTTTCAGTGTTAATAACTTTTAACACCTTGATCCTGATATAAAAGCATTAGCTCAACCAATGGCATGAGTCTGGGGGCGGGGCTATCCGTTTGACAGACAGCAGATGGGGGCGTGTCCAGAAAAGCTTTATGAAATTCTGTTTAGTGAAGCTGATGGTGCTGAAATGACACACTTTGGCTGTAAGCAAACATTTTGAGATGAAAAATATGTGAAGAGTTCAATGAGAAAGGTTATACGTACTGTATTCGCAGTTCCAGCTAATTACATTTCATTTAGCCTGATAAACATATTTTCCCCAATTTAGTCTCATTTATATGATTATTCATGTAGCAGATGCTTTTATCTGAGGTTTATGAAACATGATGGACATGTAGATTAATTTCTGCAGGACTATTTTTAGACATCACCAATTTCATTCATATTTCATCAGAGTGAAATGCAGATATGGTCAGAATAGCCAATGTATAGTTAATAAATGAAACTTGAGTCTGATGTGTAGAATGAAGCAAGCAAGAAAGACTTTAATGGTGATTATGTTTCTCACCTCAGAAAGTTCAGATCTGACTTGTGATTTGATGTAACACTTCTCTTTTCCAGGAAACTTGACTGCTGTAATGCCCTGTAAAAGAGTGAAAATAAATGAGTTATTTTATGAACAGCTCTGAAATGAGACGAACAGGTTTATTATGTGCTACTCACGGCTTTGAAGTCTTGAACTTCCACAATTTTCCCATCTGCAGCATCTGAACCGTCTTCTATCTTTATATCGATGTTACTGTAGTGAGTGCTGATCACCTGTCGACATTAACAGACCAGAGTTAAGGTCGTTTTTTTAATTAAGAGAGTTTTTGCTTCAAACAAGAAATATATCCGCATATAGGGTCAGAAAAATAAACTTAATTGAAAGGGTTTACAAGATTCTTTTTCTTGCCCCATTGTCAGATATTTGTTCTTCTTTTAAGAAAAAACTCACTTAATTTTGGTGCATTTTTTCAGAAAACAAGACTTAATATCTTCATCGTCATTTTGCTGCTCTGGTAAATGTATCTTGATTTAAGAATGTTGAATTTTTACTGGAAAACAAGACAAAATATTAAATTAGAAAATCATTTTTGCAGTGTTTGTTATTTGAAAACTCTGAAATAAAATAGAATATAAAAAGTAACTAAAACTAAAATTAAAGGAAAATGTATTATATTATACAGACATATATAAAAAAAGAATAATGATAAAAATGACAAAAACACAAAATTAATTTAAAAATGAACTAATATTAAAATGAATAGAAGTATAATATGTAAAACTTGTTATTTCAGCTATTATTTCAATAATTTCTTATTTTGCTAAAGCATAAATAAAAATAAAAAAAACTGTGTGTGTGGTTATTACAATTCTTTTTAAAATAAAAAATAAATATTTAAAAATGTTAAGATTAAAAATAATATTTTTATATTTAAAAAATAATAAAAAAGACAAAACAACAAAATTAATTAAAAAAACTAAACCGTTTTAAAATGAATAAATTAATATAAATAAAATGTTAAAAAATATTTAAGCTAGTTGCTAGTTTTACTTGTTAACTATAGTAACTAAAACTAAAAACGAAATAAACATTATTAAAAACTTTATAGGCATATAACCCCCTCCCCCCCTCTAAAACTACAAAAAAATGACAAAACACACGAAAAAATTACTAAAATTTAAATGAAAAAAAAAATAAATAAATAAAAACTAATTCAAAATATTAATAATAATAAATAAAATAATCAATCAATCAATAAATAAAATAATATCTCAAAATAACACTGCAACATACAAATATTACATCTTTTAATCCAGTGGTTCTCATCAGGGAGAAACGATGCTAAATGGAAATAATAAAACCAACCATCATGCATACTTGTCAAAAGGAGGAGAAAATGCTTCCAAAATAAAGTAAATTAGTAGAAATAATAATTTGTGAATTTTTTTTTTCTTTTGTACATTAATCAGTTTTGGGTTACCACTTAATCTGCATCCTGAAGCAAACCGACTGTAGTTGTGAACCACTGATTTATTCCATATGAAACATACTGTATAATATTGGTGCATTATTTTGTGCAGTGGTCCAGCAGATGGTTTGCTCACGGCTGCAGCTCTTACTGGCCGTTTGTGTTTGTGTTGGGAAGTGATGCATGCTGATCTGTTTGCAGTGTTAACACTACATGATTATAACCCAGCACACAGACCTCTTTGTTTGCCGTCTTTAACCTGGCCGATTTTTTTGAAATGCCAGAGGTGCCTGAAATCAATGCACACTGATGGCTGCAAATGCAAACATGCCGCTGCCTGCTTCATTGATCATTCCTGACACTTTGCAATTTAAATATTCTCATTCCAACTCAGACCTACTGTGCTTTAAATATCGACACGTCTGCGCTATTGCATCAGCATGCATTTGAGAGCGAAACGGTGTGATTATGCAATGCTGAATATTAAAAATGTATACTTTAAATATAGCAGTGTTACAAATGCATGCATGCAAATTAAAACCCTAAACACAGAACAATTTGCTGCACATCAAGCAAAAGTTTTATTATTACACAGTTAACTCGTCACAATAAATTATGTCATTCCACCTCATCAATAATAAACTTTGATTAGCCTTTAAGGAGTTCAAGTTTTAGCTTTAGTGGGCTGAATTTGATAGATGCTCCCAAAAGTGATATTTTTGTGTAGGAGGTTTCTGAACAGTTGCCCTAATTTTGAGCCAAACTAGTTTAGACTACTGTACTGTCTGGTCTGAGACACTTACTTCTTTCTCGCTGACTTTCCACAAGCAAAAAGCTCCAATGCCTCCAAAGAGCAGCAGAACGGCGCCGGCGATGAAGGCTACGACCGCCGTCGTCTTCACACGCACAAACCCTCTGGGCTTCAAGCTACTGTAAGCCTTATTAAACACACATCGTTGGGTTATAGACACAAATCAAGTGTATCAGACGCATAATGTGAAGTTTAAGGATAAAATGAAAGCATCACAAACCTCAAAAGGAACTTTTTCGGATGTTTCCTCCATGGCGTTCTGGCTTCTACTGAAAGCAGAGCTTTGTGACTTGGTGGAGCTTCTCTCAAGTTTCTGTCATGTAGGTGAGAGAGAGGAAAAATTCGGGCAAAACAAACAAGGTCCCGGAGAAACCCAAGCCTGGAATTCCTCTCTGGGGATTTTCTGTGGCCTGAGAAAACAGTGCTGAGACACACGCTTCAGACTATTCATGCACATTTCCAGTGAATTTGTGTAAATTGACAGGCAAAAGAGGCCCGGTTTACCTGAATTCACTGCTGTAAATCTATGGGACGCTTTCGAAGGCAACATTTATTTTTCAATTCAACAAAATTCGAGTAATGTTCTTCAGTTTTACCAGGACTGGATCTGTACAAGGTCTCATTTATGTACACTAGCAGTCAAAAGTTTGGACACATCACTCATTTTCATGACTAATTTCACTTTTAAATAACAGTAAACTGATTAAAGTACTCAAATAGAGGTCTGGGAGTGATGTAGTGATAAAAACGTGTGACACAAATGAAGATTCTTATATTTCAACTTCTTCTTTGTCGAGTTTACAGCTTTTTTTCACTATGAAGATTCGTTAGCCAACTTCATCAGGTGCATCATGGGATGCTTTTTAACACTATTGAAGAAGAAACATGCGTGAGAAAAACTAAAAGTAATACCATTAAAAAACTTTTTTACAGGCTCTAACAATAATATTAATAATAAAATAGAAAAAAATTATATATATATATAAAAAAAAAATATATATACATATATATATATATATATACTGTATACATTATTTTTTAAATATATTTCAGCTGATTGCCAGGGCAACATTTTTTATTTTCATTTTGTTTAACTAAATGATGTACTAAACTGATAACTAAAACTAAAACTGAAATAAAAATTTATAAAAAAACAAAAAGTGTACAAGTATACAAAAGAACTAATAACAAAAGACAAAAGCACACAACACAATTACTAAAACTGTAACTAAAATAAAAATGAGAATGGAAAATATAAAAATAAAAACGAATTTAAAATATAAATAATTAATCAATTAATAAAAACTATAATAATATCTGAATTAAAAATGTTATGAGAAAATGCAGTTGTAGGCATAATTTTATTTGTCTACAAAGCTAATATTCAAGCATTTAAACAGAAGCTTGAAATATTTTTGAGATGATAAATTATGTCTTTTGACTGGATTAGACAAGGATGCAAAACATTGTAGATGTGACATTTTTTCCCTCATGTTTTCATTTCTTAAAGTCGCATTTCATTTCTTTCTGCCAAGGTCATGAGTTTGATTGCAACTGATAAAATGTAAATGTGTAACTTGAATAAAAATGTAAGCCAAATGCATAAATGTAAAAATGAAAGAACTTGTTCATTGTAAGTGTGTTAGTTTGTTACTCATCCATTTAACCTTTTTAATGTAATGCAATTTAAATTTTTATGACAAAATTCAATTGAAAGCACAATTTATAATTGTCTGCAAAGATAATTCAGACACCTAAAGATCGAAAAGTTTTATAATCGTAATGATGACTTCTTTTTGGTCAAGGATTGTATATTTTACCAGCTCAATTTATTTATGATCAAAATTTAATTCAGAAGCAGTTTTAAGATGATAAATTATGTCCAGAATTTTGCCTGGTTTTGTCAAAGATGCAAAACATTGTAGATTTTATCATAATTATTATGATTTAATTTCTCGTGTTTTTATTTCTTAAAGAGAAACAACTTTGCTCAGTCTGAATAAATGTTATAAAAATAAGAAAAATAAATGTAATGTGTGTTACAGTTTGTTACTCATCCATTTACCCTTTTAATCTAATTAAAATTTTCAACAAATTCCAAAAATTATTCAGAAGCCTTACGTTTTAACAGTTTTTAAGATCATAAATTGTCCAAAATGATCAAGAATGCAAAACATTATAGATTTTACAATAACTTATTTTATTTATCACTTATTTTATAAGTAAACATTATAAAAGTGGTAACATGTGTAGCTGTAAAAAAAATGACATTTAATGTGTTACAGTTTGTTACAATGTGACAAAAAAAGTAACTTACAAACAAACAACAATCACATTATATTCATCCAAAACATGCTATGAAAAAAACAACATGTAATATTGTTAAAAATATAATTTGTATATACAAAACATCAATGCAGTTAAAGATAATATGTACAGCAAGATTATTACAGTATATGCCAGTATCAGACTGAGGTATCAGGCTTCTGTAAATCTGCCGGGACTCTCTGTGGCGATGGGTTTGGTGGAGTGTGTGAAGACTATGTTCTCCGAGTCTTGTCTCCGCTGTGACTGTGGAGAGCAGACGTGAATGTAATCGTACTGACTCTGCTGGTCTTCTGTAAGGCTGTGCAAGGCCACGCTTCTGTTGGTCTGCGTGTCGTAACTGCTCCTCTGAAGCGTGGCCTGTGAGGACGGCCTCGTCCTTGAGAAGGTCGACAGATGTCTGCTATTAACGCTCACAGACGGGCTCCAGCATCTGTCCGAGTGACCCAGGATCCTGCACTCACTGGTGCAAGCCCACAGACCTGAGGAAACACACTCCGGTAAGGATTTCTACACAACTGCCACAATAAAACTGGTAATTACAACTTTTTAAGCTCAATTCAGATTTTTAAAAAAAATGTTATATCTTCAACTTCAGTCTAATTCAGTCAACAGAAATTTAGAAACTCTGAGTTTACATCTCGCAATTATGATGCTTTTTCTCAAAATACAAATATGCATGTTTATATTTCACAGTAATTCTGTTTTCTGGCAATTGTAAGACAAACTCGTAATTTGGACATTTTTCGTGGAATTCTGAGTTTAAATCTCACTGTTCAGACTTTTCTTCTTAGAATTGCGAGTTTCTTGCAATTTGTGACATATAAGCTCACAATAAACTCTAACCATTCCAATCTACAGCATTTGTCAACTTTTTAAGCTCAATTCAGATTTTTTAAAAAAATGTTATATCTTCAACTTCAGTCTAATTCAGTCAACAGAAATTTAGAAACTCTGAGTTTACATCTCGCAATTATGATGCTTTTTCTCAAAATACAAATATGCATGTTTATATTTCACAGTAATTCTGTTTTCTGGCAATTGTAAGACAAACTCGTAATTTGGACATTTTTCGTGGAATTCTGAGTTTAAATCTCACTGTTCAGACTTTTCTTCTTAGAATTGCGAGTTTCTTGCAATTTGTGACATATAAGCTCACAATAAACTCTAACCACTCCAATCTACAGCATTTGTGAGTTTACATCTCGTAACTTTTACTATTTTTCAGAGTTTTGAGTTTACATCTCGTAACTTTTACTATTTTTCAGAATTTTGAGTTTACATCTCGTAACTTTTTCTTTTTTTTAGAATTCTGAGTTTACATCTCGTAACTTTTTCTTTTTTTTAGAATTCTGAGTTTACATCTCGTAACTTTTTCTTTTTTTTAGAATTCTGAGTTTACATCTCGTAACTTTTTCTTTTTTTTAGAATTCTGAGTTTACATCTCGTAACTTTTTCTTTTTTTTAGAATTCTGAGTTTACATCTCGTAACTTTTTCTTTTTTTTAGAATTCTGAGTTTACATCTCGTAACTTTTTCTTTTTTTTAGAATTCTGAGTTTACATCTCGTAACTTTTTCTTTTTTTTAGAATTCTGAGTTTACATCTCGTAACTTTTTCTTTTTTTTAGAATTCTGAGTTTACATCTCGTAACTTTTTCTTTTTTTTAGAATTCTGAGTTTACATCTCGTAACTTTTTCTTTTTTTTAGAATTCTGAGTTTACATCTCGTAACTTTTTCTTTTTTTTAGAATTCTGAGTTTACATCTCGTAACTTTTTCTTTTTTTTAGAATTCTGAGTTTACATCTCGTAACTTTTTCTTTTTTTTAGAATTCTGAGTTTACATCTCGTAACTTTTACTATTTTTCAGAATTCTGAGTTTACATCTCGTAACTTTTACTTTTTTTCCAGAATTCTGAGTTTACATCTCGTAACTTTAACTTTTTTTTTAGAATTCTGAGTTTACATCTCATAACTTTTACTTTTTTTCAGAATTCTGAGTTTACATCTCGTAACTTTTACTTTTTTTCAGAATTCTGAGTTTACATCTCGTAATTTTTACTTTTTTCAGAATTCTGAGTTTACATCTCGTAACTTTTTTACTTTTTTTCAGAATTCTGAGTTTACATCTCATAATTTTTACTGTTTTTCAGAATTCTGAAAAGTTTGTTTTTGAGAAAATTGAGTTTGTCTCATAATTCAGACTTTTCTTCTTAGGATCACGACATATAAACTCATAAATAAACAAAAAATAATTTAAAATCCAGTTGAATTTTCAGTTTAATTATTGCAATTCAAGTTTTTTTTTAAATTAAAAATAAAAATAAAAAAGGTAATTGCAACATTTTATCTCACAGTTCCCACTTATTTTCTTGCAGTTGTGAGCTTAAATCTCACAATTCTGACTTTTCATTTTAGAATTGCAAGTTTATATCTTACAATTGAAAATTATATATTTTACATCCCACAATTCTGACTTATTTTCTCAGAACTGCAGTTTATAAACTTGAGTTATGTTGCAAAAAACGTCTAAATTGTGTGAAATAAACTCAAAATTGCAAGAAAAAGTTAACTTTCATAGATCTGGAACATCAAAGTCCTGAATCAAATACCTTCACTTTTCTTTTTCATCAGAAAATAAGTTTGTTCGACTCTTAATGTGCTCAGATGCGCATGACTCGTGATAGGCACACTGCTCAGCTCTATTAGTGCGCGTGTAATCGCTCAGGCTCTTTGTTTCCCATAGATTAGAGTTTAACAAGGCTGCACTAGAAATGATTCAAAACTGACATTGAAGTGAAGCGATCCAATCAGCAGCTCATTAATCTGAGCACCTCCTACTTTAACTTTGCCTCACTAATCCACACGACACCTCGTCAATGCAACCATGATCCTGCAAAAAATAATTACCCTGACAATCGTCTGCGTGAGAAGCCATGCTACCAGCAACTCTGTGTCTTTATTTGTTTCATTGCTGCACTTTTATCAAGAACACAAATTATCAGTTATGTAAGACTTACTTTCTAACTGTATACAAACTTTTGAACGGTAGGGTATATTGTTAGACACAACAGCACAACAGTTTCCGGCACTGATAATAAATCAGCAGATTAGAATAATTGAAGACTGGAGTATTGATGATGAAAATTCAGCTGCGCATCACAGGAATAAATTAAATTGTAATGTATATTAAAATAGAACAATTTTATTTTACATCATAATAATATTTCACAATATTAAATTTTTTCCTGTATTTTTCAAATAAATGCAGCCTTGATGAGCAGAAGAAACTCCTTTAAAATTTTTTTTAAATCGTTCTGATCCCAGACTTTTGAACGACAGTGTATATTTGTATGTTTCTGTATGTTTATATTAAAATATATGAATATGTTTAGATAAAAGTATATGCTAAAATAAATACATATAGAAATATGTAATATAATATTTATTTAATTTATAATTACAAAAACTATTTATGATATTATTATAAAATAAACATTTAAAATTATATTCTGTGAACATATTTATATATTAATAAATAAAACATATTAATATATAAACATATTTATATATTAATATAAAATTCAATTAAGAAAAAATATACAATTGTATAATATCCTGCTAAATTATGAATATATATTTATTTATTTACTTTTTAAAATGTGTATTATAATTATATATATTTATATTATTTTTTATAAATACATTTTATAAAAATATATATATATAATATATATATATATATATATATACAGTATATATATTAAGATAAAGGCAACTGCTAAAACAAATAAACAATTATTATTATTATTATTATTATGAGAATTCTGCACAAATATCAAATATATTACCATTTTGGACATGTATATACATAATAATATATTATGTATAATAAATAGTTCTGAGTATGTCAGTCAGATGAGTTGATTTTAACCTTTATATGACGTGTAGTCTTTCTTGAGGCCTTCACTGATGTCAGAATCACTGTCATTAGCATCACTGTCTCCTTTTCCGCTGTCTTTGCCGCTGATCTGTGGGTCTCTGACTGCGATGGTCATCATAGAATTTCCTTTCCAGACCGTGATGGGTCGAGCGTTGTCTTTACCATAACCAGGCAAAGTGGAGTATCCCTGTGAAAACACAAGAAGCAAAGCTCATCCTCTCTGCTTTTCTGGAACGACATGACGGTGAGTAATTAATGACAAGACTTTTCATTTTGTTGATAAACTACTGTTACTGTTAAGCATACTTTTTTTTGGAGGGGGGGGGTATACTGTATATACACATTGATCAGACAGATGACTTTGACTGTTGCATTGCATGCTTGTTTTTATTTCTGCATCCTGTGCCATGAACCTATTTATTTTAAAGACAGCTTACGACAAAAACAAACAGGTTTATTTTTTAAAACGCATTTAGAAACCTGCTCCGTTGTGCTCCTTCTAGAGGTTTTGTAACACTTGTGACGTGACCCCTGTGATCTGTCACATTGCTTTGTGCTGTTTTTTTATTGTTTGTCTATTTACTAATAGTTTTTTGGCCATTTGTTCACATCTCACTGCATTTTCAGTGCCTTCAGCAAAAGCATTGCATTTTTAAAACAACATATGAAGTTAAAACAGATCATTAAAAAAAAAAAACATTTCAATTCCAATGTGTTCAATTGAGTTGGATTCCATTGCGCTACTTTTAGCTGTTTTTAATGCAAGTAGTGTATTATGTTTGTACGCCTCCTTCGGCCATTGCATCATATCTCGGCCATTTGTTCACATCTCACTGCATTTTCAGTGCCTTCAGCAAAAGCATTGCATTTTTAAAACAACATATGAAGTTAAAAACAAACATTAAAAAAAAACCATTTCAATTCCAATGTGTTCAATTGAGTTGGATTCCATTGCGCTACTTTTAGCTGTTTTTAATGCAAGTAGTGTATTATGTTTGTACACCTCCTTCGGCCATTGCATCATATCTCTGTTTTTCAGGGTTTCACACAATGAGTGTTGTTTTTAAGACAACATATCAAGTTAAAAACTGATAGACCTGTTTTATTCCTTTGCATCAGTCTCCTCTGTTGTTATTTTATTTATTTATTTGAATTTTGGCCTGTTGTTATGTGCATCAGACATACATTTTTGGCTGTTGCATCACTTTTTTAAATATTCTTTTTTTTTACAAAGTGAGCATTGCATTTTTAACATGGGGTGTCGATTTAAGCAGTTAAAGTCAGTGTTATTTCAGTATAATTGAGATGATGTAATAGTTTTTATTCATATTTGAATCTGTTTTTATTTTTCTATGTTCTGTTTTCATTTTAATTTTAGTTAAAATTTTAATATAGTTAAAGTTTTTCATTTTTGCGTGATTTTGTCATATTTTGTAGTTTTTGTATATGTTATATATAAGTATTTTAATTACTTAAAACTTAAATTTTTTATTTTTTATATATATATATATATTATATATAATTAAAGTTTTAAGTAATTAAAATGAGAAATAAAATGTTTTTCATATTTATCTTGTTGCACTTAACATTTATTTTTTTCCAAGTAACGAAAACGCTTTTTGATGGTTTTAGATTTGTTAACTATAATAACTCCGTCAGTTGTTATAATAATTTTTGCTCTTTTGCACCATTTTATTTATTGTTGCAAACATATATTATGGACGGTAGTGTATATTGTTAGACACAACAGCACAACAGTTTCCGTTTGAGCGTTGCATTGCATCTCACTTTTTTTGCTTGTCAATCTGCATTTTTGGAAAAATTCTTATTATATGTAGGCTACATATATATGAGATGCACGTCTTTGTTCACCGCAAAGTTAACATTTTGAAAAATGTTTTGTTCCATTCCTTTGCATTCCACCTGCACTGTTTTGCATTGGCCTGTGCACGTGCATCAGATGAACGTCATTGGCTTTCTTGTCTTGTGTCATTAGCATTGCTTTTCGAGCCCTACGTTGTGTTCAGCTGTGCTCCGTCGATCTGTTTTTGAATGCATGTCCTGTGTGAACGGCCCCTCAAACACACACACACACAGAAAGAAACAGTCACCACTTACATCTATTTCCCCCGCCACACTCCTGTATTTGCTCTTGAAAGTCTGTGGGGTTTCGTTAAAAACTTCGCCTGTCGCCTGCACGCTGTTGTGTAGTTTCTCAGGTGTGCCAATGGCAGTCGTGGAGTGAAATGCATGCGTGTCGAACACTTGACCTGTAGCTTCGCTAACATGCGCAACACCATCTGTTACTGACGTGATGGACGTGATGATGATTTCAGGTTTGCTCTTGAAAGTCTGTGGGGTTTCGTTAAAAACTTCGCCTGTCGCCTGCACGCTGTTGTGTAGTTTCTCAGGTGTGCCAATGGCAGTCGTGGAGTGAAATGCATGCGTGTCGAACACATTGGCAGTCTGGCAGGAGATCATCGACACGGCGTTGTGCTCTTTAGCGTAAGGAATATCCACTGCGTCTGGGAGGTTAGCTTGTCTCTTCTGACCGTTTTTGCGACTTTTGCATAGTATGAACGATAAAATAGCCAAAAACAGCAGCGAGGAACTCGTCAAAGCCAAGATTAAAATAAGCGTCCATTGTTTTGGTTCGCCGTCCTCTCTTTCGTCATAAAAATTGCCGTTTGAGGGCGCAGACTCAGTTAGGGTGAAATGAATCGTAGCTGTTGAGGTTAGCGACGGGTGGCCGTTATCGTTAACCGTCGCTAAGACTTTCCATAAATCGTACTCGTCGTAAGCGATTTTGCGGTTGATGTATATTTCCCCCGTATTCGGATCGATGGCGAAACCGAAATCGCCTCCATCGTAGAGTTTGTAAGTGAGCTCCGCATTCAAACCGGCGTCTGAATCTTTCGCCACGATTCGGGTCACGATATAACCGGGTGGCGCGTCTTTAGGAAGCTGGATTTCGGCAGATCCGTTGACGAGTGGCGGTTGCGATATCGAAGGCACGTTGTCGTTCTGATCGACCACATTGATAATCAGTACAGCGTTGTTGTGAAGTTGCGGCCATCCTCGGTCGCTGGCCTGGACGCGAAGATCTAGCCGCTTCGTGACTTCGTAATTAAAACTTTGCAAGGCGTAAACGTTTCCCGCTTGATTCATAATAGCAAACCTGGAGACGCTGTTGGTGTCCGAGTCAAAAAGCTCATAGGTTATTTCCCCGTTAAGCCCAGAATCCTGATCGCTGGCTAAAATCGTAGTGATGTAGGTACCTGGAAGTTGATTCTCCTCAATGAAACCTTCATATATCTTAGCGCTGAATGTCGGAGCATTGTCGTTGACGTCTGTAAGCCGTATAATGTAATGAGTTACCGTGCGTAACGGCGGTACACCGAAATCCTCAGCCACTATAGTCAAATTATACTCCGCGATCTTCTCTCTATCCAGAGGAGCCATCGTGACTATCGTGTAGCTCCCTTCATACGCTCTTTTAAGCCTGAAGTTTCCATGTCCGCCGTTCAGAGTGCAGCTCACTTGCCCGTTCGCTCCAGTGTCCTTGTCTTTGATGCCGATTAAAGCCACCAGGATGTCTTGACCTGTAGCTTCGCTAACATGCGCAACACCATCTGTTACTGACGTGATGGACGTGATGATGATTTCAGGCGGGTTGTCGTTCACATCTCTGATGTTGATGATGATTTTGCACATTGAGGGCACAGGATTGTGTCCTAAATCGCTGGCTTGCACGTCAATTTCATACGTGGTCTCGTCTTCGTAATCCACAGGGCTCTGCAAAGTCAAATGTCCAGTTTTGTAATCCAGTTTAAATAGCTGTCTGATCTCTGTTGTGACTTGTTTGCCAAATTCATACATGACCTGTCCATTGAGACCTTCGTCCGGATCGAGAGCGTTCAAGTCCAGCAGTAGCGAATCAACAGGGGTGTCCTCTGGCACATCCACAGAGTAATGGCTGTGGTCAAACAGTGGGCTGTTGTCATTAGCATCCTTCACTTTGACGGTGACATTAGTGGCGCCGCTTTTCGCCGGATTCCCGCCGTCTGCCGCCACGAGTTTGAGCGCGAAAAAAGCGCGGGATTCGCGGTCGAGCTCTTTGACCAGCACCAACTCCGCATATTTAACCCCATCCACTCGCGTTATGACATCGACGCTAAAGTGAACGCTCTTTTAAGCCTGAAGTTTCCATGTCCGCCGTTCAGAGTGCAGCTCACTTGCCCGTTCGCTCCAGTGTCCTTGTCTTTGATGCCGATTAAAGCCACCAGGATGTCTTGACCTGTAGCTTCGCTAACATGCGCAACACCATCTGTTACTGACGTGATGGACGTGATGATGATTTCAGGCGGGTTGTCGTTCACATCTCTGATGTTGATGATGATTTTGCACATCGAGGGCACAGGATTGTGACCTAAATCGCTGGCTTGCACGTCAATTTCATACGTGGTCTCGTCTTCGTAATCCACAGGGCTCTGCAATGTCAAATGTCCAGTTTTGTAATCCAGTTTAAATAGCTGTCTGATCTCTGTTGTGACTTGTTTGCCAAATTCATACATGACCTGTCCATTGAGACCTTCGTCCGGATCGAGAGCGTTCAAGTCCAGCAGTAGCGAATCAACCGGGGTGTCCTCTGGCACATCCACAGAGTAATGGCTGTGGTCAAACAGTGGGCTGTTGTCATTAGCATCCTTCACTTTGACGGTGACATTAGTGGCGCCGCTTTTCCCCGGATTCCCGCCGTCTGCCGCCACGAGTTTGAGCGCGAAAAAAGCGCGGGATTCGCGGTCAAGCTCTTTGACCAGCACCAACTCCGCATATTTAACCCCATCCACTCGCGTTATGACATCGACGCTAAAGTGGCATTTCACTGTAATATGCAGTATTATTGAGTCCTGCGGAGTAACTCATCAAATCTCTTTCTAAACGTGCATCTCTAGGGATCCTTGAAAATGTGGCTCAACAGGACACAAGATAGTTTTCCAAACTTGTAAGTTAAGAAGAGGAAAAGTTGTGCCTCCTGCTATTCATTTAAGGTCTGTTTAACTCCCTCCATCTTCATTTATTCAGTCCTGTGGTGTTGCACCTCCCAAAATAGCCGCATCCCTTTAAACTTCTTCTAAAAGTACATTAACAGCATTTTCAGATTGTCTTATTATTATTTATGTGCGTTGAGTTTTCACAGCCTCATTAATTGAGAGACTACAGGGAATGTGTGCTTTATAAAAATTAATCTGTCACACTGCGGGGCCATAGAAATGAAAGTGAAAAGTTGATTAAAAGTGGTGGGGGAAAAAAATGCACTTTTCCACATTCTCACAATCTGTCTGCCTTCCTCATCCGTCCATCTCTTATCACAAATCTCTCAAAGCAGAACTATAATGTATTCATCTTTAATCTAAATCCAAATCTTGCCCACCGGGTGAAAGTCTCCAGACGCAAGCCTGGATCTCAGTCTGGTTTTGGCCAGTTGTTAAACTCGGAAAATTGCAGTCAGATGTGCGAAGTGCTTCTAAATATTTCATGAATTTATCGTACGCACCTATCAACCGGCGGTAAAATTTATTCCAAACATTCCAGATGATATTTCACAGAAAGCACTACACTTCTTTGGAAGTTCAGGGCAATCTTTTGTACTTTCAAATGAATCTGAGGAGCTGAAAAGAGGTTTTTGTAGGGGGGGAAATGCTGTGCAACTGTTTGAGAGGAGATAGGGATTCCAAATTCATAGTCCGCTCACAGACATAATTCCATTTTTAATAGGATTCTAAATGCATTTGGTTTCAGGGGATATCTTTTTGCATTTTCAAGTTTGCTAATCACATCCGTCTATGACATGCTTCAAGAAACGGCACGGAAGTCGACACATAAAACTAGGCACCGGCTTCATAAAGGTTTGAAATGGGGATAGAATTATACGGCGGCGATGCCCACAGTTGGCTGATTAGTGTTCATGCGGGAGATGATTTTAAGATTCCTTCTGGACACAGTAGCGTCTCTCTCCCGGGGAAACCAAGCCTTTCTGTGAACGGCGTTAAGATTTGCAACATTTGGGAAAAATGCCACGAGAATTGTGTTTGCCAGTCTTCAGTGGCAGCTCTGATGATTATATTGAGAGAAAGAGCGAGATAGAAGGAAAATATATCTGTGACCTTTGTCTTATCAACCGTTCCATGTAAACATTTAGTTTAATGGCATTTGAATGCATGCATTTTCACATAATGCACTGAATACAAGATTGCTTGCCCTTTCTCCTTATGCGCTATAAAAAAAAGATTTTTCAAAGATTATAGAAGTGTGTTCTACTTCAAAATTTCAGACTGAATTCAATGCGTTACATGCCATTTATGTTGCAGTGAATGGGTGCCGTCAGAATGTGAGTCCAAACATCTGATAAAAACATCACAATAATCCACAAGTAATCCACAGCACTCCAGACCATCAGTTAACATCTGGAGAAGACAAAAGCTGAAATAAATCCAGCATTAAGACGTTTTTAACTTTAAACCATTGCTAAAACATTAGTGCATAATCCATAATAATGCTTCCTCCAGTGAAAAAGTGCATCTCCTGTCATCTCTCGCATCAAAATCCTGCCACATATGTGTTTAGAGCTGTTTTGGCTTGTGCTTGATCTGTGCAGATTTCTCTTAACATCTGGAGAAGACAAAAGCTGAAATAAATCCAGCATTAAGACGTTTTTAACTTTAAACCATTGCTAAAACATTAGTGCATAATCCATAATAATGCTTCCTCCAGTGAAAAAGTGCATCTCCTGTCATCTCTCGCATCAAAATCCTGCCACATATGTGTTTAGAGCTGTTTTGGCTTGTGCTTGATCTGTGCAGATTTCTCTCCTGATTCACACCAGAACACTTTTTCACTGGAAGAAGCGTTATTGTGGATTATTACTATTTTGAATTAGCCTTTATTTTTATTTTTTCAGTTTTCATTTTTTTCTTCCCAATTTTAATATTTTTCTTAGCTGTGTTTTTATTATTTCTATTTAGCTTAATTATTTTTGTTTTTATTCATTTTAGTGCTTAGACTTATTTATTCCAGTTGCCGAGGCAGCATTTCTAATTTTCATTTATTTTTAATTTAAGAAACTTTTATCATTTTTTTTGTTTAATATTTTTATTATATATTATATTTTTATATTTTCATATTTCATTTATTTTAGTTTTAGCCATTTTAGTAATTAAAAATAAAAAATACTTTTTTTCAGTCAGCATTTCTCATTTTCATTTAAGTTTTTTGTTAGTTTAAGTTCTTCTTATAATATTTGTATTTTATTTCAGCTTTATTTGAATGATTAAAAATGGTTTTAGGTAACAATAACAATCATTTCCTGAAGTTAAAATCCCATTTACATTATCCATAAAGAAAGAATTTTATACTATGGATTATGGACTCCTATTTTAGCCGGAAACAATGGTTTGAAGTTAAAAACATCTTAATGCTGGATTTGTTTCAGCTTTTGTCTTCTCAAGACATTAACTGATGGACTGGTGTGGATTATTGTGATGTTTTTATCAGCTGTTTGGACTCTCATTCTGACGGCACCCATTCACTGCAGAGCATCCATTGCTGAGACACTGATGCAATGCTGCATTTCTCCAAATCTGATGAAGAAACAAACTTATCTACAGCTTGGATGACTTGAGGGTGAGCATGTTTTTTCACCAAATTTTCATTTCTGGGTGAACTATTCCTTTAAGCCATGCATCTGCAGTGCCATCATATCAAATTATACAGTCTATTTAGGATTTATTAGACTCTTTTGTATCATACTGACACATTTTGTTGCTCGTTCATACTTCAACCAGCTACTGCCTTCCCACAATGCTTCATTTCTGATTATTTTCCTGCAGGCGCTCTTTCTGTGCTTGGCCGTCTTCCATTAGCACTAGCCTCACTGTCATCCAATACAGCCTGTGTTCATCTGGGAAAAACACCTACAAAACATCAAGAAAATAACTCAAATGAAAGAAAATCTAAGCAAAGATTTATTTCATGACCTGAATTAAGTGTGTGTTTTGACGGAGTGCAGTTTTGTGAGTCCTGCATCATTCAGAGTCGATGAGAATCGCAGTGACCTTCAGTACATCATCACATTCCATACTTCACTGTAAGCCTTTATATATCATGCATTATAAAATATCTCAATACATTAATTAATGCATCTTATAATGAATTGTATGATCTCGTGAATAATTGTAATCACAGTTATAATATTTGTCTATTCACTGTTACACCTTTAGGAAGTATAATGCATTAAAACATGTGAAAACAACCAATTTTAGACGTAACAAGGCATCTGCCAATATTATAATGTAATGTGTATATATATATATATATATATATATATATATGTGTGTGTGTGTGTTTGTTTTAAATGCAAGCCGATTTAATTTATTTTATGTGAAGTGGTATACACACACACACACACACACACACACACACACACATATATATACATCAATAAAATAATTACATTTGCTTGCATTTAAAAAAAATATAATATACAGGCTTTTGCTACATAATGTAGTTAGTCAAAGCTCACATCACTGCATTTTACATGCTTTCTGACTCTTCCAGTTTAAATTTATCCTTTTTGTAATACTGAATAAATATTTATAAAGCTGAACTGTGTTGGATATGAACTAGATTGTAGGTTTGATTTTGAGTCGGATGTTCAGGCATTTGAGGCTCAGCAGGGGCTTTTCGCTCTGACTTGAGGAATTCTTGAAGCGTCGACTGGAGACGTCTCTCAAAAACATTGGCCCTCAGTTTTCCCCGATCCCAGGTGTGCGTCGCTCTCAGGTGCGGCGTCAAGCCTTCCTCTCGTAAGCCGGGCTGGAAGTCTCTGCTTATTAAAAGAAAGATCAAAGTGAATCAATCCTCTGTTGTGTGTGAAGAGAGAAAAAAAATCAGCGTGTAGAAGTTTCAAAGGCTGCTGCACAGGTTAAATCTCTCGAGGAACATGCCTGATAATTTATTGGAGACAATAAAGACACTGAATATTTCACTTAGACCTCTTGTTCTCATTGCTTCATGAAGCCCAAGGTGTCCTAGTGTTGTCAGGAAAGATGTATGATCTGAGGATATCTGAGCGTGCAGATGGAGGATTCGCCGTCACTGTGGATTCAGACTCCACTTCATCACGCCATTACATATCACACATGATCCTCAGACATCAGCGTCAAGAGTTTGGAACAATTAGGTTGGTTTTAGTCTCTTCTGCTCACCAAGGCTGCATTTATTTGATCAAAAATACAGTAAAAATAGTGAAATATTATTACAATTTAAAATAGCTGTTTTGTATGTGAATATCTGTTAAAATGTAATTTATTCCTGTGATGCAGTTGAATTTTCAGCATCATTCCTCCAGTCTTCAGCGTCACATGATCTTCAGAAATCAGTATAATATGCTGATCTGCTGCTCGAGAAACATTTCTGATTATTAACAAATATTAGTCAATATTTCATAATATTATCAAACGTTTGGGTTAAGAAAGATTTGAAAAACGTAAAAGAAAGAAACTTTATTTAAGAAAGAAAAATGTATTCAGCAAGTACACATTTAATTGATCAAAAGTGGCAGGAAAGACTTATTTTATAAAATATATTACAAACACTGCAGCAAGAACATTTAAAAATATATGTATTTTTTAAAATGTTGAGATAAAAGATATCAGATAAAAGATAAAAAGAAAAAAAATGAATGTTGTCATGATTTAAAATGCAGTAAATCATTAAACATTTATTTGTCCTAAATGGACCTGTTGTTATAAAAGCTGCAGTGTTATTAGATTTTTTTTACATTTTTGAGCCAAATCTCAAAATTGTCCTATAGTGTGACTGTCTCAAGCATGGTTCAGTAAATTACAACTTTTATAAATTAAAAAGAAAAACATAAAAATGTTTTAATCGTACAAGTGTCTATTTTAGTAAATGGCAATCATTTTTTTCAGAAATAATGTTTCATCCACATATTTCTGAATGCGTAGGAATTTTATATATTTTGTCTCTGAAAAGCATGTCCTATGGTGTGACACCATATCCTGATTTGAAATCAGCCAATTACAGAACAAAATTACATTAGTTGAAGGACTCCATTCATGATCGTGTTATGAAGCCCCCTGTGAAGCCCCCTATGTGCACATGGTCAATTTCTGTCTCAGAATTGTTCAAATATTTAACTTTTTTTAACCACTACAAAAGTGTTACGCTTTGTTGTCCTTTGGTGTGACACCCTTAAATTATATTTTTTAATTTGAAAGAAACTGCATGTTAAACTACATAATCATGGAAAATTATGCAAATGTGTCTTGCTA